CCGCTTCTCTGACTCTCCGCAATTTTTAGCAGAGCACAAAAATTAAGAAAAAAGAAATAAAACCGGCCATAGAATTTGCTGCAAGAATTCATAGGGCATTCTCGGAAAGACTCCGGATTGTGTTTGTCTTATCAGCTCGTAAAACCACGAGCTCTTTGCGTTTATTTTCGGCTTGCTGATAATTCCGCGGGGGTCATTTGGAATATAAATATTTACGGATGCAATAAGGAGTTGCGTAATCGGGCAGGGAAATTTGAAGGAATCAGAAAAGGTGCGATTCGGGTGCAAAAACGCACAAAAATTTCAATAATTTGTTGGATTCCTAAATCAGATCACTTTAATGTTAAAAAAAAATAATAATTTTTAAAAAATTTTCATAATTGAGCTGTCAAAAATAATGGAAATAATAGTAAAAAAAGGTGTACCATCGATTATAAACCGCTTGTTCAGGTCATACGAAAAGTATAACAAGCCTGTTTTTAGTGCAAAAATAATAATTTTTTTCAGTTACTGATGCTTTTTGTTATAGAAAAATGCTTATCGAAAGAAATCTATTAGTCCGTCGGGAAAATAATGAGCGCAATGTCGCTGCGCCGATCGTGTTGCTGAAGTGAAAAGCAATTTGATTTTGTCACGACACAATTAATTTTTTCGACAGCGATGCGATTTTCCATGCGACAGAATGCTCATTATTTTCCCGACAGATTGTTTTTTGGCTTTCAAGAAAAATATCGGTGGTTTACCGAGTTTACTAGGCCAAAAACTGATGACGGTACCTAATTTTAACGCCCTGATTTCGATGAAACGTCGCTTAATTTTGAGTTACGACAGAGTGCTCATTATTTTCCCGACAAACTGATAACTAAAAGATATTGCATCTAACAGGAATGGAAAGCGCACGGATTGAGGTAAAACAGAAATATCTTGATTTCAAAGATCTAAAAAATGTCGAAAATTAAATGCCAGGGGTAAAATTATTATTCATATTTTTTACGAGGGAAATTTATGATTTTTTAACAAAAGGAATTGTAATTTTCCCTTACATTAAAAGTCAAAAATTGCCAAAAAAATTATTAAATTGCCAAAAGACACACGCAATTAAACTCACCCTCATAAATATCAATTTTCATCCAAAAAACTTATCGCCAAATCCCCGAAAAAATCGCATTTTAGAAAACCCAAAAACCCCAAAAATTTCCAGCAAAAAATCGCTCAAAAATCCAGCAAAAAGCGAGCTTATTCAGCCTTCGAATCCCCCTTTGTAAGGACAATGAAACTTTCGAAAGTGTGGAATAAGGCGAGCGAGTGAAAAGCCCGCTCTTTTGGGCCGCTTTTCGGCCGCTTTTCTTTTTCATTTCGCCTCCGTTCGGCCTTATTTGGAAGCAGGAAGGAGGGATGTTTAAACAGCCCCGCGAAAATTGAGTTTTATGGCAAAGAATTTTTTGGGAGAAAAGAAAGTTGCACGTAAAAATTGAAATATCACATGGTGACTTTGGATTGACTATAATTTACCGGTCGATGAAGCGATTTTTTTATGATGTATGTCAAATTAATTGTTAGAGACTCTAGTTTTTGAAGATATAAAATACGAAAACATTTATGCCCTAAGGGGTTCTAAACACACAATTTTTTTAAAAATTTTTGTCCAAAAGTTATAAAATGTTTTTTTTTTATTTTTTTCTCTGAAAAAAATGTCAATTTATATAAGGTATTGAAGCGTAATATACTGTCGCTAAATGTGGATTATTTCAGCAAGCAATTTGCAAAGAAATAGTCGACCTTTTTCGCTAACCGTTTCTCCGCATTTAGCGTCTCTCTGATATGCAAACATCGTTGAATATCTCAGCTGCCCTTGCAAATCGCGAGCTAAAAATTCCATCCAATTCTGTCCTATACACAATATCCACGCCAAATTTCACGGAAATTGGTTTGTTTTCCCCGGAGCAATAACAATTTTTTTCAATTGAGCCTCAAAAAAAATATAAACCCTCAAAAATCACAGACCATAACCTTTGCCTGTAGTTTCAAAAGTCATATTGTTGGTCGAATTCGTGGCTGCTACAAGCAAGCATCAAAGATTTGCTGGCTATCAGCCATTTCAATCTTTGCGGAGGTTCGAATTTGACCCGGAAAAACAAATGTTCGTCTGGAGAAGAGACAAAAAATATTTTTTAAGATTACTAGGGCCCGGGTCAAACAAAAAGCGGAGATTTTCTGAAAAAAACGATTTTTGTAAAAAACACAACATTTCAAAAAATTTAGAGTAAAACTGCCTGAGGGCGTCTTTTTTGACCTGCCGGAAATTTTGAAAGACACCGTCATAATTTAGAGGCTTTTGATGATTTTTTTTCGTCTAAAAAGGTCGATTATACCTGCAAATGGCATGCTATATTCTTTAAAAATTTTATGCTAAATTTATGCCAAATTTCAGCATTCAGCTAACAGGTGAGTACCCCAATCATGACGCTCAGATTTGAAGAAAAAAACGCGCAAATTTCCAAAAATTTTTTAAAAAATATATGCGAGAAACTAGCCCGCGCTTTGCAGAAACAACCGAGACTTTTAAACCTAAAGTTTGCGAAATTTTGAGACTTTTTGCCGAATTTCGGCACAAAAAGTTTCATGCCTATCTCTACCATAAAGAGTAATGTTGCCACAAAAATTCAAATTTTTACGCACAAAACTAGCAAAGATATAGCCAAAACGTGACTTTCTCTGAGCGATCTGAGCGTCTAGCGCGCTCTCTTGGCGGCGAAGATTGGTCAATTCTCTATGGCGCTTGCAAAGCGCGAGCTAAACCTTTCAGGAATTGGTATTTACACGGGAAGTACTCCAAGTGCGACGCTCAGATTTTGATGAAACTTGGCGCAAATTTAGCATAATTTTTTCTAAGATATAAGCGAGAATCCTAGCTCGCGCTTTGCAGAAACAACCGAGGTTTTTAGACCGAAAGTCGGCCAAAATTTAGGACTTTTTGCCGAATTTCGGCACGAAAAGTTTCATACCTAAGTATTTCTATTGTAAAGGGTAGTGTTGCCACAGAAATTCAAAATTTTCCTCTTGAAACTAGCAAAGATACAGTCAAAAAGCGTTTTTCTCTCTGACCGCTCTCCACGTTTAGCGTGCTCTCTCGGCAGCAAAAATTTAAGGAAAATCTGAGCGTCACACTTGGAGTACTTCCCCTGTTAGTCGATTCCCGACGTGTGCGCAACATTAAAAAAAAAACAAAAAAAGTTGAGCGTCGCACTTGGGATAGATACTTACTTCCCTTGTCAATCCGATGATTTTTTGTGATGACAAAAAAATCTCCACAAAAATCTCCGCCAAAATTAATAAACCAAAAAAATCGACAAAAAAGAAAATCAAGTTCAAAGTCTCCTCAAAAACCCCCGCTCAAACAGAACGCCCCAGGCGTTTTTGTCCATTTCTTTGTGAGTATTTCGAAGTGAGTATCCGATATCACGTGAAATCAGACTTTTTTCCCGGTTTTTTCGACTCGAACAGATCACGCGGCCGAACGGACAGGTGCCGGTTCGACAGTTCGTTGGGGAACAACTGCCCGACCTCTGCTCTCTTCGGCTCAGCTGATTTCGCAAAACACCTCGGGACAGGGAATGTCCGAATGGTGACAATAATTGGAGCTGAAAAGAAGAGAGGAGGAGGTGGGAGAGGGGGTCGAAAAAATATGGTAGAATCTGTGTTTAACAAGCAATGGGAGCCAAGTTTAGGCTAAAATTAACATGAGCTTTTTTCTTAGACCATCTCTTTTCATTTTCCAAAATCCCTCATCTGCAAAGATCAACCAATATCTCAGCCGGATTTAACACGAACAATCTGAAATTTTGAGGAATTAATTTTCAATCCATAGAGAATACCTGTGCCGAATTTCTAGGGCATCGGACCATTGGCCCTCGGCCATGTTGCATATGTATTTTAGAACGAAAAAATGAAAAAAACCCCTTTCCGTCTTTCCAGGTCCACGACAGGTAGGGCCAACAAAAGTCGATCGATACGGTACCGTAGGGCAGTTGCAGACCCAAAAAAAGACTGTAGGATGTGACTACGTGGAATCGTCGGATACTCGGCGGACGGTTGGCGAAGGCTCGGCGGAGACTTGGCGAAGGCTTTTTATACGCCCACTTTTCTTATTTTTGCTATTGCTAACTTTAGTTTCCTTAACTCTGAGTAATTGTAAAGTAAAAAAACCGAAACTTTCTCTAAAAAAAATAATCCGTAAGTTTTGTCTGGCTTTATTTGAAGTAATACATGTAAAATACCTCTCAATAGGTGATAAGCTACAATTTAATCTGATCAGTAGAGACGGCCAGAGAAAAAGATTTATTTTCTTTTAAAGTTTTTTTTTCAGAGTTTTTACAGCTGTTGCTAATAAAAATGCAATCATTTTCGGATGTCCGCGACCTTTGTTCAACAAGATTATCCAGATGAGTAAATATGCCATGATTCGGAGAAGAGTTGAAACACGGAACACAGCACAACGTAAACAAAAACGTTTGTAACTTAACTGCACAAAAGCCCAATTTAATTTCAATAGGCCACAGAATACCCGTTACACGAAAAAAAAATTTTTTCCTCATTTTCCAAAATCTCTCGTCTGCCAAGATCAACGAATATCTCAGCCGGGTTTACAAGGAACAAACTGAAATTTTGAGGAATTAATTTTCAATCCATAGACAGCACCCGTGCCGAATTTCTAGGGAATCGGGCCATTTGCCCTCGAGCAATTTGCATTTGTATTTTAGAACTAAAAAATGAAAAAAAAACCCCTTCCCGATTTTTCGGTTCGACGACAGTTCGGGTCAACATACGCATGTAAAATAGATCAATACGAGGCGTAGGGCAGGTGGCGATAGACAAAAAATCAGAACCAATAGGACCAAGACTTACTGCAAAGAAACGAAAAAAATAAAAATAAAAAATAAAAACTTTGTTTGGCACCCATTAATCACGTATGTACACTATATGTAGTATAATATATATATTTAGCAAGTCTGCGATTCCACAATGGCCCTGAGGACCGGGAATGAGTCAGTGGCGCACTGAGCACGGTCGTTTTCGATTCCACGCAAGGCAATCCCGCCAAACTGATTCAGCGACGCCCATTGGGTCTTCTGTCTCATGGCTCGGCGACTATCGACTGGAGCACTTTCCGGCGAAATTGGTCCCACAGCGAAGGCGCGCACGCCAACGCCGATTCCTCGATTTGGCTTCTGGCGCTCTGATGAGGCGTCGGAAACAGCAGGGAGCGCGCACACCTGAAAATTTTGATTTTTAAGGGTTAGTAAGCAATTTTATGTGGTTTTGATGATAAATAAGGGCTCTAGAGATTAAAGATAGACAGTGTGCGTTGCTAAAACGTGGTAGAATGACACTTACATCCTCTTCTTCCAACTTGGCTGGAGTGGCAACGGAATATCCGAGGATCAGCTTTCTCTTCGGAACTCCGTAGGCTTCCCATTCAATGGCAACGCTCTCCTGAAAATAGAGACCGTTTTTTTTTTGGTTCTTTATATCAGGTTGTTGGGAAAATAATGAGCTCCACGCCGTATCGAAAATCGTCGCCGAGAAAATAAATTGTGTCGCGGTAAAGTCAAATTGCTTTTCACTTCAGCGACGCGATCGGCGGCATTATTCTCTTTATTTTCCCGACAAAATGATACGACTTCTAATCGTTGTAAAGCGCTCTGGATTTAACGACCAAATTTGCTTTAAATTTTACACACTTGGCAATGCAATGTTCCGTAAAATTTCAAGGCCGCACTTTTCGGGAGAACCAAAGTTTGGGTCAAAACAAACTCGATGAATACGCGGTAAAAACAAGGCATAGACCCAGCAAAAGCTTGAAAGGGGGGCCTACGTGGCTTTTCGAAGCCACTGGAAACTTTGCGAACTCTCGGCGGAGACTCGGCGGAGACTTGGTGAAGACTTACAACAGACTAATTTTTTTTAAATTTTTGCTCTAGCCAACCTTGTATTTATTGACTCTGAGCTGTGAGTAAAAATTTTTTTATAGTCTCCGCCCTGTGTACAACGACAAAACTACTCAAACTATACAGCTATAGCTCCAAAACTTACCACAGTTCTTTTGGGCTCTTGCTGTTTCACTCCCTTGGTGACGATCTGCTCATGCTTTTGAAGGCGGCTTCCTTCGATGATCAAGAAGTTGGCGGTGCTAAAAATTGAAAGTGTTTTACTTTTTTACTGTTTCAAAATTCTTTGTTCAAATTTGGCAAAGTATTTTCTTTGCAGGTTTCAAATTGATTCCTCAGTTTTTTAACTTTATTCTCTGTTTTTTGGAAATATTTTGCGAATAATCTCGATGTCGTATTTTACAATCCGAAATACTGGCCTGGCTAAAACTGTTACCCATGGATGAAAGACACTTTGCAGCCACAAATCCGCATTATTTTCCCGACAGACTAACACATTCCCTTTCAAATTTATACTGGTTGACAAAATTTACTTTCCACCTCGTATCTCGGGAACCGCTGGGCCTAGAACCTCCAAATTCGGCATAGAAACATCCTAGGACAGTCTAACACTATGCCCAAAAAATCATATCATTTGATGCACTTTACATGCCCTTTTTCCAAAAAAGGCAAAAACCCGGATGACAAAATTTTCTTTCCACCTTGGAAAAAACGTTTGTAACTCATAAGCCAGAGGGTTTTAAGGCATGATTGTGGTATCGTTGTGTTCGCGAAGAAGTCCTCTCTCGATTGGTGTCACAACCTTACGGGGGTTTTAGTTTCTTCGCCCTTGGGCGTCGGCTCATCGTTGCCTTGTCCATTTTCAGCCAAATTCGTGGCCAGAGGAGCTCGCATAAGGCACAAGGAGATGAAAATGCCTTTAAAAAATCTGGCATTCACGTTTGCAACATTGTTTCCTCCGGCAGTAGAATTCGATTTAATTTAAGTGCGTTGCAGGGGAAAATGAGCGCTGCCTGGGTCCGCAAAACCGAAGAATCACTTCTGTACAGAATGGGAACGTCCAAATTACATCCATTTTCGCCACATACGGCGTACTTTAGGGCTTATACGACAACATGTGTTGAAATCTACCAGCTTATCTTACCCCTCTCTGGTCTATGTTGTCTCAAGTAACGCAGGTTGTTGCACTAGGCCTTGGCATTACTTAAGCTTGGTATATTGGGACTTTTGGCTACCAGACTACTTTAATACATCGACCTTGACAGGCCTTCAACGTTTTTTCCACGACGAATAGCTTGCGCAGAAAGCTTAGAGTCGCAAATTTTGTGTATGGGGCGTTTGGAACCTTTCTTCTGCTCACATCTAAGCGCGACATCAGTGATTAAAATCGTCACTATTTTTTAACTCTGTAGTATCATAGAAAATATATAAGGAGGAAAAGTTACTTGAATTATCTGCAGTGTTCCCATAATAGCGTAATTTTCTGGTAACGAGAACCCTGGAAGCGCGCGTTTTCCCCTGCAACGCACTTAAATTAAATCGAATTCTACTGCCGGAGGAAACAATGTTGCAAACATGAATGCCAGATTTTTTAAAGGCATTTTCATCTCCTTGTGCCTTATGCGAGCTCCTCTGGCCATGAATTTGGCTGAAAATGGACAAGGCAACGATGAGCCGACGCCCAAGGGCGAAGAAACTAAAACCCCCGTAAGGTTGTGACACCAATCGAGAGAGGACTTCTTCGCGAACACAACGATACCACAATCATGCCTTAAAACCCTCTGGCTTATGAGTTACAAACGTTTTTTCCAAGGTGGAAAGAAAATTTTGTCATCCGGGTTTTTGCCTTTTTTGGAAAAAGGGCATGTAAAGTGCATCAAATGATATGATTTTTTGGGCATAGTGTTAGACTGTCCTAGGATGTTTCTATGCCGAATTTGGAGGTTCTAGGCCCAGCGGTTCCCGAGATACGAGGTGGAAAGAAAATTTTGTCAACCAGTATAAAAGAGAGTTTTTTACAGATTGAAGCTTCTCATAACAAGGGCCGGACATTTCGAAAAAACGACCGACCCAGAATCTTTTGATATTTTGCATAGTAGTTGTACCATGATAGCTGAACGTCAGCACGAATTTTTAGTTTCAGAAATTACCGTATACGGGGGTTACGGTAGGTACAATTTTTAGAAAGATTGGGTTCGTATGTAAAACCCTCAAGGAGTAAAGGCACAAAACCTCGCCGTTTTACGTTTTTGACTATGGGGAACATTTTCATAATTGACAACTTTGCCGTAGGATGTTGCCTTTGACTACTTTGAAAAATACGAAGGTACCATATTGAATGTAACTTTTTTGCAGAGAACTTGTCTCAACTTTTGAAACCTCTTAAAAACACTTTGACATGTATGTAACAACATATCAAAAATGCGCGAAAATAAAAGGGGGGGTTTTGGAGATACGGTACTTTGAATGTTGCCGGTACGGTATATCAAAAAATAATTTTTTTCAAAATCGGTGTAGAAGACCCGCAAAAATTGCCAGAAAACGTTTTCGACCATGGCGAACATTTTTGTAATTGACACTTTTTCTGTAGGATGTAGTCTTCGCCTACTTCGAAAATGACCCAGATACCATGTGTAATGTAACTCTTCGGCATTCTACTTGTCTCAACTTTTGAAACCTCTCAAAAATACGTTGACATGTATGGAACAACATATCAAAAATTTAGAAAAATAAAAGGGGGGGTTTTGGAGTTACGGTACTTTTAATGTTGCCGGTACGGTACATAAAAATTTTATTTTTTTCAAAATCGGTGTAGAAGACCCGCAAAAATTGCCAAAAAACGTTTTCGACCATGGCGAACATTTTTGTAATTGACACTTTTTCTGTAGGATGTAGTCTTCGCCTACTTCGAAAATGACCCAGATACCATGTGTAATGTAATTCTTCGGCATTCTACTTGTCTCAACTTTTGAAACCTCTCAAAAATACGTTGACATGTATGGAACAACATATCAAAAATTTAGAAAAATAAAAGGGGGGGGTTTTGGAGTTACGGTACTTTTAATGTTGCCGGTACGGTACATCAAAATTTTATTTCTTTCAAAATCGGTGTAGGACAACCGAAAACCTTGTCAATATACGTTTTCGACCATGGGAAACATTTTTGTAATTAACGGTTTTCTTCTAGGATGTAGCCTTCGACCGGTTTGAGAAACGTCAAGATACCACGGTCAATATAACTTTCCGGCATTCAACTTGTCTCAACTTTTGAAACCTTTCAAAAACACCTTGACATATGTGTAACAACATATCAAAAATTTAGGAAAATAAAAGGGGGGGGGGGTTTTGGAGTTATGGTACTTTGTATGTTGGACATACAGTACACCGAACTTTTTCTGTGATGCTGACGTCCGATTTTGATAGATTCCACCGTCGTATGGCACACACGTCTCTAAACCGTGTCAATTGTTACAAAAAAATTAAGAAATCACTGATCTTGCTGTTACAGTAACCAGTCATCTGCGCACGATATGTTACAGTATGCTTAGGTCTAGTTTTTTTGAATTTTTTTGTGAAAATAGGTTGTGAGGGTCGTACAACATAGATAAAACATTACATTTTGTTTTTAAAATAATCTGCGTAAAGTTAAGCCGAGAATAAATGGAGGTGTACTGTATGTCCAACATTAAAAGTACCGTAACTCCAAAACCCCCCCTTTTATTTTCCTAAATTTTTGATATGTTGTTACATACATGTCATAGTGTTTTTAAGAGGTTTCAAAAGTTGAGACAAGTTCTCTGCAAAAAAGTTACATTCAATATGGTACCTTCGTATTTTTCAAAGTAGTCAAAGGCAACATCCTACGGCAAAGTTGTCAATTATGAAAATGTTCCCCATAGTCAAAAACGTAAAACGGCGAGGTTTTGTGCCTTTACTCCTTGAGGGTTTTACATACGAACCCAATCTTTCTAAAAATTGTGCCTACCGTAACCCCCGTATACGGTAATTTCTGAAACTAAAAATTCGTGCTGACGTTCAGCTATCATGGTACAACAACTATGCAGAATATCAAAAGATTCTGGGCCGGTCGTTTTTTCGAAATGTCCGGGCCATCCTTCGAGTTGTAAAAAACTCTCTTTTAAAATGATTTTCTTACCTATTCAGCACAGTGATGTCATACCCATCCTTCGTTGTGGATTCATCAGTAATCGTGGCTGCCAAAACCGCGAATTCCGGGAATTTCTCTTGTCTTCGAAGCTCACTGAAGAGCTTGGCGAAGGAGTCGCGGTTCGAGACTTCTCCTTGAATCCAATCAATCGAGATTCCATCAACATCCAGGGAAGTGTAGAGCTGAAAAAAAATATTTTTTTTTTTGAAAAAAAGTGTTTTTAAATAAGACAGTAGAACAGAACTTCGTATTTTACAAAAATGAAAAAAAAATTCTTCTGTAGTTGAAAACTTAAAACTCGCTTTTATGAGGCATGCAAGAGAAATTTAGTCTATAATCAAGCGAAAAATTAACGGTTTTTTATATCCAAAATTGTCAAAAAAATAACAAAAAAAAATTTTTCATGATTCACTTGAAAAGTTACCTATTCAATTACTCCTATGATCTACAATTTTTCTACAACAAACTAGGCTTTTCCATGCAGAGACAAAAAAGTTACAAGCGAAAGCCGTTTTTGCTCTAGCCGACTCTCCTCATTTTGCACGCTATTTCGCAAACAAGACCGTTGAATACCACGGCTGCCGCTGAAAAGTGGGAGCTAAAACTTTTTGGGAGTTATTTGTGGTCAATTCAGAACTCATGTGCAAATTTTTAGGGAAAAAATATGAATACATCGCCTGAAAAAATATCTTGATTTTGAAATTTTTTTATTATTTTTTTTTTTATTTTTTTCTTCAGAATTTGATTTTTTCAACATTTTTACGGACGCATACGTGTGTTCAACGTATTTTACCCACCTGAGCCAATCTTTGGACCAGTCTTCTTCGGACGAAGCTACTTTGGACCACTCTTCTCCACACTTTCTCGTCCGTATTGGCGCCAATTGACAGAATTAGGACTGGCTTCTTGACTTCAGGCCATTTCTTATATTCCTCGATGACTTTGGAGAGGGGCTCTGAGATCAAGACATCGCCGTTCAGCTGAAGAAAAGTGATTAAAAAATTGTGGTTTTGCAAGAGTAAAAAGATAGACTAAAAAATTTATTTTGGCCATAACTCAGTTGAAAATTAATTATTTTTAACAAGTAATGGCTCAAATGAACCTCTGAAGTGTCTATTTTAAAGCTATATCGACCACAAAACATTCACGCCCTGAGGCTTTTTACAAATAAATAGTTTTTCCAAAAAATCTAATCATTTTTGGCTTTTTTGCTTGTTTAGGAATTTTCAAGCCCTTAGGGCTTACAATAAGTTTTCATTTTTTCAAGCTAGAAAATAGCTGCCATGATGGTCCTTTTGATATAATTTTCACCAAAAATCCATAATTTTCCGTGGAGTTATGGCCAAAATAATCTTCCAAAACTTCTTCAAAATTTTTTCCAAAAAATTTTTTCTTCTCCAAAAAAATCACTTACCATAATCTCAGCGCTACTCAGAACCAAGTGTGAGCACATTTTGGAGTCCAATTTTTTCAAAGGAAACTGTTTTTTGACGTCGCCAACTCGGTAAGTGCAGAATCGCTGACATTTGGCGCCAGTTCCTCGGATTAGAAGACGATGAGCACGTTCGCCGTGCTCATGACGCCTGTTGAAGGCGAAGATAAGTGTGGGGAGAAGAATGAGGCAGAGGAGTTGAGCTTTCATGCTGGAATTGATGATTAAAAAAGGTGTTTTCGGAAAACTTGGAAAAATTTGGAAAGAATTGCAAAAATTCGGTTTTCAGGATTTTTCGACATAAAAATTAACATGAAAAAAGTTAAAGGCACATTCTCTAGAGGATGCAGGAGATTTTCGGTATAATTTTATCAAAAACTCTGGGATTCTTAATTCGAAAAAATCCTAAAAATAAAATTTGTTTTTGAAATTTTCCGAATAAAAAATTGATTTTTTAAATTCAATTTTTTTCTTTTTGAAATTTCTAAAAACTCTGTTTCTCAATGCTTGAATGATTTTTTCTTGGCTAAGGTCGATTTTTCATAGAAAAATTTAGAAAAATCATGAAATTTTGGAATTTTTCAACCTGAAAATCTCGATGGTTTCTGCAAAAGGCAGGCTGAAACTTTTCTACATGTCTTAACAGGCTTTAATTTTAATTTGTGCAGAATTATAGCAAAATCTGAAGAAAAAAATTTTAAGCCATTTTTGAAAAAAAATAAAAAATTTTGCTGCTACTGTGACCATAAGAGATTACCCAACAAAAACTAACATAACATCTTTTAACAGACCCTTCAACAAGCTACTTTCACTGCTTTTATCTCAACAACCCCCAATACTATACAACAAAAAACCGGAGAAAAGTAAAAAAATCGGATATTCAAAGTAAAAACCCTCCCAAACTAATCGAATCATCACCCCGAATCCGTTATACACAACGGCGATGCAAGTCACGGTAAGATTAACCCAGCTTCTGGCGAGATTTACGCCGATTTTAAAGCGATTCCGCGACGGCCTTCAGGTGAAAACAAGAAAAGGGATCCGAAATCTTGTTATCAAGGTCGCCGCAAGCTCGAAATCGGGTTGGAAATCTGGGCTTCTGATTATTAATGACCGCTGCATCTTCATTTTGGATTTCGAGACAAAAGATCTGCGAAGATTCATCAAAAATATTCGAGAAATCAGAAAACAGTTAGAGGATTAGGGGTCAATTATATTATTCATGAAAAAAGTGATAGAAAAGAGATTTGGACTGGGTGTAAAACACTTTGAAATTAATAATTATAGCATTAGTAACCTTGCTCAACTTTGAAATCACTGAAATTCATCAATTTTTGGCCTTTTTGACATCAAAATTACATTGTACATCATCATTAATATAAATCTCATTTTGTGATGGAATCGGATTTTTTTAATAACCATTATCTTCTAAAATCGTATTTTACAACTCATCATTAATTTTTACCACCATAAAATTTCATTTCTGCAATTTTTTTCCACCACTAAAACACCTTTAATCGTATAAAACCTCCACTGCAGTCTGCACTATCCTTTCAACCCAAAACTCTCCGAGCTGCGCCCGATAAAATAAATATTCTTGTTGTAAAAATTCTCAGGGCCCGATCCGATCGGCTTTATTATCGATGTATATTGTTTTAGCGCTATAATTTTATATAAATGAGTGATTTTGGTGAGTTCGCTGAGCTTTGAAGGTTAATATTGTTTCAGAATCCTTGATCTGTGCGGATTGTGGAGCTGGGAATGCGGAATGGGCTTCGATCAATCGAGGAGTATTTATTTGCAATGAATGCTGCTATATCCATCAGAATTTGGGTAAGATTTTATTATTTTTGATTGGTTTTTAGGAGATGATGAAGACATTGATGATTGTGATGGAAGGTGAAGATAAAATAAACGATTATGGGGTGGAAAAGCCAGAATAAAGTTTCACAGAGCTTTTCCATTTATTTAGCAGCAAGGTTTTTGAGAAAAATCCAGATTTCCTATCTAATTTATATTACACTCGACGCCCTTCGTTGTTTATACCATAATTAAAAAAACTTTAGTTCTTATTACCTAAAGTTTTGCATACAACGAGGAGATGGACTGTTTTAGCTAGAAGTAGGCTTTTTCTGGACCCTTGCAAAGTTTTTCGCGAGATGAAGACTATTTTGATGTTATACTAGATAGCTCCTCAAAGTTTAGATGTTTTGACGTGACGGATGGATTTTTACTGCCCAAGATTTCTCTAAAACTAAGTGTAGCCCTTAAAAAATTTTTGGAAATTAAAGTTTTTTAATTTTGAGTTCAGAATCTTTAACAATCGCCAGTTTGGACCTTATTTTAGACAATGAACCAAAACTTCTCAAAATTTTTTCTTCCAGGTCGTCACATAAGTCAAGTTCGATCTCTCAGAAAAGGAGTATGGGTCCAAAGTCAGTTGGAATTGCTGAAAGTGCTGTATGAGAACGGATCAAACAATATTTGGGAGCATATTTTGTTGGACCCTCAAAACGAGAGGAAAAGTTCGAAAAAACCTGTGTCCAAGTGAGTTTTATTGCCGAAGAAGAATTTTCTGTTTGCATTGTACAATCTGTCAACAAACTTTTATTTTTTTATTTCCAATTTTTGCTGAAATTCTATTAAATTCTTTAAATTTCTCCTAAAACAATATAAATTTTGTCAAAATTTCAGTGATCCCGTCTTCCCAAAGAAAGAAAACTTCATCAAACAGAAGTACCTTCAAAACGAATTCACAATTCGCCCATCAAAGGAGGAACGAAACTCTTTGGAGGACCTAAATCGCCAGCTTTGGTCGGTCGCGCGAAGCTCTCGAGTTGAGACCACGCTGAAGTTGCTGGCACTTGGAGCTGACCCCAACTACGCTGACGTCGACAATGGGCTGGCGGCGGTTCATGTGGCCGCAAAAGAAGGGCAGATTTTGCAAATTGAATTGTTGGCCATTTATGGTGCGGATGTGGCGCAGCGAACGGCTGGTGGGCAGACTGCGGCTGAAATCGCAAGGCAAGAAGGGCATGTAAGTATGTTTTTGTTTGGAATGTTTTTTCTGAATTTAGGCGTTAATTATGGAGATTTTTGTTTTGGCAGCCTGCGCCCAGCCTATGCCGAAAAACTTGTGCGAACTGCAGTGAAACAGTTAAAAATGACGTCACAGGGTTCATTGAGACTTATTATGTCCGTAAATGCAATTTTTATATTTCAGGACGACTTAGCCACGCGTCTAGACGAGCTGGAATTCGCTGTAACCGACCATTTCTCCATGTTTTTGTGCCGTCAAAAACCCGACCACTCCACTGGCAAACACTTTCTCATCCCCGAAATGACCAACCCAAGCGAACAGTGCAAGGAATTTCGCCGACATTTGCAGGCAATCCCATCAACTTTGTTCGAGAAGCTGTGTCAAGATGTATATGATGAAGTGGATCGGAGAGAAGTCCAAGCTCAATGGAACGCTGTGAATGGACTCATAGCGGTGGGAAGATACGATTCCAAGCATGTGGCGGTGTTTTTACCGGTAAGGTTTGTGGTTTTTTTAATTGGATTTTAGAAAGGGGAAGGGTACCTAAAATAAGGTGGAATTGTGGAAAATGATGGATTTATGGAGTTGAATTTGGCTAAAAATTATATATAAGGGTTTTATAGACGGTTTATAACCTGTTTTTGGTAGTTTCACGGAATGCCAAGTTTTCGTTGCGGGACCCAAATAGGTCTCGATAAATCATATAATACTGATTTTGATGGCATAATTTAGCTTGCAAATGAAAATAGAGGATCGTAGAATTATTTTGATATATTTTGTCTGCTGCGGAATGCCAAACTTTCGCTTCGAAACCAAGATTTTGCAAATTTGATCTCTAAAATAATGTTTTTGCATAAAAACAGACATTTTTGGATTACAATTAGTTTGTTTTCCCAAAATATGTTTACTGTCTGCTCTAAATTTTAGCCCAATGCCAACCTAACCGCCACCCGGAACCAATTACGCCAGAAATTGGCCAAATACGACGCCCGAGACCTGTCTCAACTGATTTGCGACCTCCTGAAGGAAGCGAAACGTCGTTTCCTTGGCGAAGAGCCAAGTTCCGTGGACGAATCACCCAGAGCAACTCAACAGTGGCCAAATGAAAGGTGGGAAGAGATAAAATTCGATGAATTTGACTATATTTTACTTGATTTTGGTCGTTTTGTGAATTTTTTGGAATTTTTTTGTTTCATTTGAGTTTAATTTGCTCTGTTTTAGTCTTCAAACGCCCGAAAATTTCGAACAAGTCACTGATCTGGCGGAAACTCGCAAATCCCACGGCTCCAACGGAACCCATCGCTCTTCGGCCCTGAGGGCATCGGATCGAAATTCGAACCCAACTCTTGACGATTACCTGGAATTGAAGGAAAAGTTGACTGAGACTGACCAGAAATTGAATACAGTGGTCCAGACTTATGTGCAAATGTCGAAGTGAGTTTTTAGGGGTAAATTATATTACTTTAGGTGTTTTTAGATGAATTTGAGGTGGAAAGGAGGTAATGTTAGGGGGATTTGGTGGGTTTAGATTGCTATTAGGCTGTAAAAAATATTTAGGTACATTTTTGGAAGTTTTGGAGTTATTTATTTAACCCTTTCCGGACGAGTCGGCACCTCCATGCAGAAATGAAAGAGGGTACCCTACTGAGTAACGGCATAATAGTGGTTCAGCCCATCGAAGCGTTATTTGGGACTTATGACAAAAAATGTCCTAAAAAGTACCCCCAGTTGACATAACCCTTATAAAATTTTGCTAACGACCTGTAAATTAGAAACTACCCCTAAGTTAAAGTCTAAGACTCCTACTACTGTTACATCCAAGAACTGTCCAAATCGGACCACTACAGGATTAGTTATCGACTTTTGGAAATTGAATTTTAAATTTCGACCAATTTTTGGCCCAAAATTGAGTATATCTTCCGCCGGAATCAACCATTTCAGTCTAAATGTGGTTTTTCTAAATCTAGAGTGACGCTAGCTTCTTCCCAGAATGTTTCCAGAAAAAACCTACAGGGCACGTTTCTGTAAAAAGCGAAAAGGTTGAAAGCGTAAAGGTTTCACCGTATAAAATGTCGCCGCAAGCCGAGAAGGGTCGGGCGCAGCTCGAAAGGCGAAAATAATATATATTTCTTTGAGAAATACTATTTTAGTGTGAAACTAAAGCAAAATCCAATGAAATTGCCTGAAAATGCATTAAAAATGCTAAAATGACATTGAGTTAATGTTTGCGTGCTCTGTCTGTCAGTATTTCATCTGAATTCAGCTTGTCGACACTAAAATAATATTTTTCGAAGAAAAAAATATTATTTTCGCCTTTCGAGCTGCGCCCGACCCTTCTCGGCTTGCGGCGACATTTTATACGGTGAAACCTTTACGTTTTCAACTTTTTCGCTTTTTGCAGAAACGTGCTCTATAGGTTTCTTCTGGAAACATTCTGGGAAGAAGTTAGCGTCACTCTAGATTTAGAAAAACCACATTTAGACTGAAATGGTTGATTCCGGCGGAAGATATACTCAATTTTGGGCCAAAAATTGGTCGAAATTTAAAATTCAATTTCCAAAAGTCGATAACTAATCCTGTAGTGGTCCGATTTGGACAGTTCTTGGATGTAACAGTAGTAGGAGTCTTAGACTTTAACTTAGGGGTAGTTTCTAATTTACAGGTCGTTAGCAAAATTTTATAAGGGTTATGTCAACTGGGGGTACTTTTTAGGACATTTTTTGTCATAAGTCCCAAATAACGCTTCGATGGGCTGAACCACTATTATGCCGTTACTCAGTAGGGTACCCTCTTTCATTTCTGCATGGAGGTGCCGACTCGTCCGGAAAGGGTTAATGAACCTAGGGCGCAGCCTGCCAAGTTGAAACATTGATGGTCCTGGGGGATTTTTTTAATTTGAGATTATGTTGAGTCGCGAGGACAAATACAAAAACAATTTTGAGTCATTTGTGAAAGTTTTAGCTACGAAGCCAGGGCGCAGGCTGCGGATTAAAAATTTTTTGGAAACTTGAAGAAATACTCATGATTTTATTTTCAGAGACCTCCAGCTTCTCCAAAAGACTGTAGAACAAATGTTTGAAGAGAGGAAGAACCTAGAAGGACAGCTGGGAAACATAAACCAACAACTTACCCTAATATCGAGACGCTCACCACCCCCGCAAATCCGCCCATTCTCGCCAGCTATCTCACCAATCCCGAAGCCCTTTAGTCCGAGGCAAAATAACGGTAAGAGGGCGTTTTTGAGGGGTTTTTGGGAGGAAAATGAGCTTCAATTTCCCCAAAATTTACCTTATTTTAGCGCCGGAACCCAAAAAATCCCCAATGCATCGCCAAATCAGCCTTGGAGGGCCGGAAACGTCTCACCCGAGAAGAGAAGAACGTCATGGATCGGTTCCGCATGACTCATCTGATGGCCTACATCAGCAGCAACATTTCCCGGACACTTTAATCGCGGAAACCGAGAAATTAATCGCGTTGATTAAGAATTTGCTCTCACAACTCACCCAACCCCAACCACAGCATAATAATATTTTGCATTTGGCCGATTCGGTAAGTTGGACGGGATTTTTGTTTCATTTTTGGGGGTATTTTGAAGTTTGCCTGGGCGCAGCCTGCCGATTTTAAGTTGTTTTTTCGGAAGGTGGGTGGACGTATTTTACCAGTGGAATATTCGAAATTGATTGTGTTTAATGGATACTTTCATAATTTTTAATTTTTTTTTTGAGTTTCTCTGGGCGCAGCCTGCCGATTTTGAAATTTCTTTACATGGTTTTTATGGACCCAGTATTTTACCATCAAATTAATCGCAATATGTGCTGTTTGATCCCTGATTAAGACTTTGGATTTCACTCCGAGGGCGCAGCTCGCCAAAATCAAAATTTTGGATTCCGCAGCCTGCGCCCTGGCTAATACGAAAAAATTGAGTAATTGATCCGGATATGATTTGTAATTGTGCAGCATAATGTGATAAGCCATATTTTTCAGATAAATTACCAGATCTCACGCATCATCGACACCATTCCGACCGCTTTTCGCGCGGGCGAAGTTCAACACTCCGTCGAAGAAATTCTCCATTTCATGCGCGCTCTCTACGCGAAATGCACCCACAGACCGCTCGCCACGGAAGAGACGATCACCTCCGCGTATTCAGTGGCACAGTCGGCCAAGAAATTGCTGATCAGCGCGAACGATGCGGCCGAAAACCGAAATCGCTGAGATTTTTGTCATTTTTTGGATTTTTGAGATTATTGTCTAGCTTAAAATGGCGAAATTATGATTTTATATTATAGATTATGGTGTGTTTTGGATTGAAATTAATTGTTTGTAGATTATTTTGGCCGAAAATTTATAGTTTTGATCTGTTTTTGTCATTTATACTTAATCTTTTGATAGCGGTCCTATTTTCTCGAATATCAAGTGCATTATCTTGCTGATTGCTCAAGTATTCAATACTAATAAGTGCCCTTTTTGTGTGGAAAGGTAATTATGCGAGTTTTTTGAATGAATTATCTGTAAATACGCATTTTTTATATTATCCATGATGAATAAAGTCACTTTTTTGATTTTGTATAGTTTTTAGACATGATAATGCCGTTTTGTCGGTGGAATATTGATTTTTATGAAGGATAAGACTTTTTTTTTTGTTTATTTTAAGATTTTTGATATTGAAAAATTTTCGGTTTTTTAGGGATTTTTTGATAAAAAGCCCAGTTTTTAGGCGCATGGCGAGTCCTGAAGCGATCAAGAACCAATTTGCGATATGGGAACGACTGATGCATTCGAATGTGAAAGCGCACACCGCTTTGAGGAGTTTGAATCAATTCCCTCGAGGGCAAGAAGGCCAAAAATTGTTGGAACAGCTGGAACCCGAAGTTCGAGACAAATATATGCAGGGTAAAAGATTTTTTATATGTTTTGAAACATTGTATGACATTTAACACTCAATTTTGCACTTAATTTTTGAAATTTTTGAGTCCCACCACGAAAACTTGAAATCTTGGCATTGTGTTGCAAGTCAAATTTTGCTTTGTAAATGCCTTAAAAAGGCTTTAGAATGAGTCAAGAAGTAATAATTCGTATTTTAGTCCGCAAAAACACCTTCAAATTGCTGGAAATTTTCCAAAACATCGAAGCGAAGCTGACGGAAAAGTCGAAAAAAGTGGAGAAGAGAGAGGAAGATGACGATGAAATCGTCAGCTCTGACTCGGAAGCTGACGCCGAAGACACGAATGAGGATTTGGATGAGGAATTGGAAGAAGAGGAGGAAGAAGAAGACAAAAAAATAGAGGAAAAGAGGTAAAAATTGAGATTTTTTCCAAATTTCCCAACTTTTTTAGCAAAAAGTCGGTAAAAATGAACAAAAGCTCCCTTGCATCGATGGAAAATGCGGTCCAAAAGCAAGCCAAGGCCTTTGCCAAGAGCCGAGATGCGGTTTTGGAGAAGTGGTTCGAGCGAACGAGGCTGGCCGTGTCGAAAAAGCACACCAGTGACAACTTTGACTCACTGGAAACGTCGGCTGTGCGACAAATTGATAAGGTAAGGGAATTTGAGAAATTTTTGGGATTTTTTGGGGGAAATTGTTGATGAAAGATGCAAGTGGGCATTTTTGAGAGGATTTTTGCGGGATTTTGAGTGATTTTTTTGCGGAAAAAATTGCATTTTTTGAGTGAATTTTTTTTTTTTTTTTTTTTTTTTTTTTTTTTTTTGAAAAATGAATTTTTGGATTAAAATTAAGTTTTATAGGTAAAATACGAGCGGGATTTTAGCTCTAATTTTTTAAGATTTTTTAAAAATTTCACTTTATTTTAGCTAAAAAGTTCAGAAAAAAAAAATTTTTTTCGCGATTTTTTGGCTTGAAAAGGTTGAGATCTGGCTTGAAATGCAATACAGACCGATTTTTTCGACAAAAAAAAAATAGAAAAAAGTTATAAATAAAAAAAAAAATTTTTCGATTTTTTTGACTTAAAATTTTTTTTGCTGTCAGATTATAATATAAAGTGAATTTTCAGATCCTCTCCGACCGCGCCCGACTAATTCGCCGAACCCAGTTGAAAAGAGTGAACGCTGATCGAATTGCGGGCCCCTCGGAACAGACCCATGACCCAGAAATCTTTGATGACGACGATTTTTATCAAACTTTGCTCAAAGAATTCATCGATCAGAAGTCCTCACAGACCTTGGACCCCATCCAAATTAGTCGGTAAGAATTTTTGGAGGTTCTTTTTTGGAATTTTTTGCCTAAAGTAATATAATTTTTTTTGTATTTAAAACAATTTTTTTGATTAATTAGTATCTAAAATTACTCGTTGTTAGATATAAAATGATTTTTGTTGTCCAATAAGGCCAGAAATTGCCAAAAAAATATTTTTTTACTGATGTCTTGGCCTAAAATGGCGCACAGTGCAAAAAGGTGCATAAATAAGCGAAGGTAAACATTTCGAATTCCTAAATGCCCTCAGGGTATTCGCAACACCCTATTTTTGAGTGGAGGAGGGCCCGATCCCGTGGATTTGTTGATACGAATGTTATATGAGACGCCGATGTTATACATGAGAGATCATTTTTTATCTCAAGTTTTGGTGGGACAAACAGTTTTTGAAGATGTTTTGGGGTAAAATACGGGACATTGACGGCATATTAAATTTTTTTAAAGGCTTGAGTGAAAATTTGAAACTGAAAAATGACGGGTTTTGGAGAAAATTTTACTTGTAATAGGGGACCTGATCCAGTGGCAAAAAAACTTACCGTTTTGCATCCGGGAAGTATCAAAAACGCAGCAAAATACCTCACTCTCCAACTAAAAAACTCCAATTTGAAAAGCGCGCCACTTCTTTTTGTGAGGAAAAGGGCGGCTCTTCAAAATGGAGTTTTTTAGTTGGAGAGGAGGTATTTTACTGCGTTTTTGATACTTCCCGGATGCAAAAAGGTATGTTTTTTGCCACTAGATCAGGTCCGCTACTGCAGGCAAATTTTTCTTCGAAACCCTTCATTTTTCAGTTTCAAATTTCTACCCAAGCCTTTAAAAAATTTACATATGCTCTCAATGTCGCGTATTTTACCCCAAGACATCTCCAAAAATTGTTTGTCCCCAAAAACTTGAGATAAAAAATGATCTCTCATGTATAACATCGGCTGATCATATAACATTCGTATCAACAAATCCACGGGACCGGGCCCACCTCCACAAAAAAATAGGGTGTTGCGAAAATATTGCTTCGTTTTTGATCTTTTCCGGATGAGAAACGGTACGTTTTTTGCCACTGGATCTGGTCCGTCACTATAATTTCGCTAATTATTAGGTAATAATTAGCGATTTTTTGATGAAAATTTGGGGTTAGAGGGGAAATACGATTTTTTCTATGCATTTATTAAAAAGATGCATGTGTTTTACACCGTATTTTACGTTTTTTTTTAATTTTGAAATTTTGAAAAAAAATTTTTTTATTTTTTTAAAATTTTTTTGCCTTCAGTCAATGGCTGGAGGTCCAAAAGCTCCGCCAACAGCGAACCAAGAAACGACAGGTGGATAAACGCGCCACCAAGGGTCGCAAAATCCGTTATGTTCCGATCCCAAAACTGTCCAATTTTGTCCCCGCCGAACCCGAAAAAGTGGAATGGACGCACGAAAAACGCAACGAACTCTTCAAATCCATTTTTAGATATTGATTATTATTGTTAGCATTGCGATTTTTTTGTAGTGATTTTCACATTTTTTTTTGTTGAAGTTTGAGTTTTTGTTGTTGAATTGTTGATTTTTTTTTGAAATTTGAAATAAAAAAATGTTTTTTAATGTAAAATACGGAATATGTTTATCAGCGAAAAAAATAAAGCAGGCTTTTTATGACAAACTCCAACTGTTGGCTTAAAAATCTCGGTCGTTTCTGCAGAGCTAGAAGTCTCGCATATGTATGTCGGCAAGGAAAGTATTATACTTCTATGGGGTATGGAGTTACAGGTCGAGACATATATCAAAAAATTCGCGAAACTTTTCTGATTCAGAATATGTCAAAGTTAGCTGCCTAATTTTGTTTTGTAAGGGTGAAAAAATACTCCCAACTTTTCTCGCAACACCCACGCAAATGCCTTATTGACCATGTTTTTACCAAATCAAAAGCTTTGTTTTGAGTTCCAATACTAATAGGCGGGCCAAAAAGTCTTGACATGTTTTCGCACCGTGCGAGCGCATGAATTCGGTGTCGCGACGTGGTGTCGCGCGATAAAAATTTGGCGGGGTGCGAATGAAGAACGCACTGTGCGTTGTTTACCCTTTTTCAAAACAATCTTTTTGCACTGTGCGGTGTCGCATTGCACCGTGAATTTTTCTTGTCGCCTCGCGACAAATTTCATGCACGACGGCGCACTGTGCAGACATGTCAAGACTTTTTGGCCCGCCTAGTATGAAAAACGGGCATTTGCGTGGTGTTGCGAGAAAAATTATGAGTATTGTTTCACCCTTACAAACCAAAACTAGGCAGCTAACTTTGACATATTCTGAATCAGAAAAAATTTACGATTTTTTGATGTATATCTCGACCAGTAACTCCATACCCCATAGAAGTACTTTCTTTGTAAAAAAAATGTCTGAATTTCTGACGATCTTCATCAAACTCTGAGCACCGCACTTTGAGCACCTTTTCCGTGAGACTATGCAAAGTTTTTACCGCGCGCATTTCAAATAATAGCCCCTTTTTGGCTCGAAAGTTAGCGAAGATCCGAGCATCAGTCTGTCGGGAAAATAATGAGCACAATGTCGCTGCGCTAAATGCGTCGTTGAAATGAAAAACTTCGATTTTGCCGCGAACAATTCATTTTCTCGGCGGCGATGGGATTTTTGGGAGTGCTTATTATTTTCCCGACAGACTGATAGTGTAAATAAAATACGGCTGATTTGCTGAATATATTTGTTTGAAATTTTAAAATTAGCGGTTTTATTTGTAAAATACGGCTACTCTTCAATTTCAACTATCTCAAAAAAAATTTACCCTCAAAAAAATCAAAAATCTCAAGCCAAAAATATGGCCTTAAAAATTATGTTTTTGCACACCGCAGTCGGCCCCACTAATTGGCTTTGCACGACAAACAATGGGCACGGTGCGAATGAAAAAGCGCACTGTGCACTTTCACCGCGCGACATAGCTTTCATCGCCCTTTTCAAAGGCTTTCATTACGCACTTTGCGTGGTCGCTGTGGACTTTATCGGTCTGCCTTGAAAATAATGAATTATAATGAGATTTGCAGCCATCTTCAAAGGCCTTTTATTTTTTGTCGCTTTTGCTTTTTACGTTCGTCGCTCCGCATTTATCAGTCTGTCGGGAAAATAATGAGCGCAATGTCGCTCTCTCAAAAACCCTAAGGGCTCAACCGCTCAAATTTTCAAGGATCAACAACAGTTCTATTAGGTTGTCCCACAAATAATGTCGTTTTCGAGAGGGGCAGTTTCCACAGTCTATAAAAAAGGTAAACGACTATAAAATTTCGCAATATTGCATAGTTTTGTAGTCGAGAACACAAGCTTTCGTTCGATATATTAGTTGCCATATTTGGATCAAATTAAAGTAATTTAGCCCTAATCCAAAATTATGGGAAAAAAGTCGATTCGTGTCGCCGTGTTGTACCTGCAAAAACAGGGTATGAAAGTTACAGGAGTTACACAAAATATCAACGGCGTGTTCGGCGAGTCTGATGTGAGTCTGAACACGGTGAAACGATGGTTCAAAAAATTTCGATCTGACGGTGAGGGACTCAAAGATAAAGTCCAGCATCTGAACTTTATGAATTTACCCTGGGGCCATTAGTTGTCAGATATCCTAGAATCAACATCCGACGCGTCTCTGACATCGTCTGGGTGTTAAAATAATCGTCGGCTAACCGTTGGAAGTCGATGGAATTCAACAAAATGCTCGGCAGCTTTTTCCCATATTAATGGACCGAACCACAGAATGGAGGTGTCACGTTTGTTGCTTTTACAATCTGAAGAGCCGGGGTTTCTCGATCGGATCGTGACCCGTGATGAAGAGCAGATCCTGCACGACAACCAGATGTGCCCAATGGAGTGTCCCGAGGGTACCAACACGGCACTTGGCAAAGCGACCCCCCATAAACAAGGTGATGGGCACTGCTGGATGGTGCAGCATGGGTATCTCACCATACAGCTCGTCAAAAGTTGGCCAAAATGTAAATGCCGGGTACTGCTGTATTCAGATAGACAGCTTATGGCAGAATATGCCTTTAAAAACACGCCGCGGAATTCCAAAAGTTCTAGGCGACGATGCGCAACCCCACGTTGTAAAGACGACGCTCCAGAAGTTGAGTTAATGGAGATACGGGACTCTCCTTCGTCCGGAGTACTCGCTAGGCATGTCTTAAACAGATTGCTACCTTTCCAAGAGTCTAATGGGTTTCATCCGTGGTAGGGAATTTATCAATCAAGACCCTGTTGAATGGGCCTTCAAAAGTTTCATCGGCTCCAGAAGCCGGGGTTTCAAAGCCACTGGCAAAAAAATGCCTTCATCGCGTTGCAATAGCGTGGTATAACACATGGTGATTATTTTGATCAAAAATATCTTCGTTATCACGGTTAATTTCTTTGTACAAAAAATCTTTTGAAAAACGACATTATTTGTGGGACAACCTAATACATAGAGCAATCGTGCCAAATTTGGGGAAAATTCATCGTTTGTGCTTTGAGAAAATCATGTTTCTTTCTCTGTCGGGAAAATAATGAACACAATGTCGCTGCGCCAGTCGTGTCGCTGAAGTGAAAAGCAATTTGATTTTCCCTCGACACAATTCATTTTCTCGGCGGCGATTCGATTTTCGATGCGACAGAGTGCTCATTATTTTACCGACAGACTTATAGTTTTCCTTTACGTAAACAGTATTTTCTTATAAAAAGATGACATTAAAAAAATGACGTCAAACTACAGAGCGTGGCTTCAGAAATTTATGATTTTTTAGGGCCGGGCCGGGTTCTGGAAATTTTGAAAACGGGCCGGGCCGGTCCTACTTTTTATCGGGTCTTGGCTTTTTGTTCTTCGGGCCTCTGGAGCAAAAAGCCAAGCCCGGCTCGATTGTCTTGTATGGTCAATGTGGGCCGATATGTTTTGTGTGAGATCGCACCGTGCAATAATGTCACGAATTTTTGGCTCGCTTACTATCAGTCTGTCGGGAAAATAATGCGGATTCGTCGGGTTTGGAATTCTCATCATTGTTTTGTGACGCTGGCCGCAGTTAGAAATTTGGTGCGCGACTGAGACAAGGCAAGACATTTTGCAAAAAGACTTCAACATTATTTTCACGACAGACTGATATTATGCCGGCAAGTCCTGTTTAGGACATAAAATTTGCAGGGATTGACAAGGGTCCTACGTAGGGTAATGGTGCCAAATTTGGGGAAAATTCCTCGCTTCTGCTTTGAGGAAATCATGTTTCTATTGTATCAGTCTGTCGGGAAAATAATGAGCACAATTTCGTTGCGACGATCGCGTCACTGAAGTGAAAAGCAATTTGATTTTCACAATTCATTTTCTCGGCGGCGATGCCATTTTCTATGCGACAGAATGCTCATTATTTTCCCGACAGACTGATAAAAAATTGAGTTCTCGAAAGCACGTCCAACGATTACATCAATTCTTTCAAATTACATACAAAAAGGAGTGATAAGCCTCGTTAACGTGGGTGGGTCCACGGAACACCCAAGATTTGCGGAACGAGACGGCCGAACTTTGATTGGCTTTGTTTGAATTGCGTTTTTGAAGAAGCCGGGAATTTGTAATTTAGCCAATAAATGGCATCACTGCGTACTGTAGCTTCGGGGAAGGAACGTATTTTTAGTCTTCCTTTAACTCCATTTTGCGGGGTGAAATTAGCATTTTTTTGAGGGGGGAAGACAGTTCGGAAGTGAATATTGAACCTCGAGTGGTGCATTCCAGAACAGTTTTATCGATCAAAGAATTTTTTTATAAGATGTACATATAAGAGATTTTAAGCTCGCAATTTTCAGAAATTACAAGTTTGTATCGAGATTTTCCGGTCAAAAGTTAGCAAAAATGTGGCACTTTGTTTGGCAAACTTTGGCATGAAAAAGTTCATAAGGTTCATGCCTATTTCTATTGTACATAGAGAGCAATGTTTACACAAAAAAAAAATGATTTTTTTCGCACAAAGCTGGCACCGACAAGGCCAAAAAGTGGTTCCTCTATGAACGCATTCCGCATGAGCTCTCGTCGGCAATGATCGTTGAATATTTCGGTTGTCCTTGCAAAATAAAAGCTAAAATTTTAAATAAATGGTATAAAGGGAATGAATAGCAAATGTGCGATATTTGAAGAAAATAAAAGTGTCGAAAGTCGATTGCTTCGCTTGAAAATCTCAGAGAAAAAAATCCAATTTTTACCGACTTTCGGCCTTAAAATCTCGATGGTTTATGCAAAGCTCGGGCTAAGACTCGCCCATATGTCTTAGGAAGTACTGTTCTTTATTTGTCGCAAGTTCCATTCGTTTCAAATCCTCGTAAATTAGCATTATATCAGTCTGTCGGGAAAATAATGAGCGCAATGTCGCATCGAAAATGGCATTGCCGCAATATTCTGTTCATTATTTTCCCCACAGGCTGATAAAAACTTTTTTTGAAAACTTCATTTTTCGTATAAAATATCCTTCAATTT